CTGGCCAATCAGGAAGCCAGGCAGCAGGTCATGACGCGCCGCCCGGCTTCCTGGTTGGTCAGGAAGCCAGGCAGCCCCGGGAAGTGAAGCCAGTGTTCTTTTTTGATAGAACACCGGTAAATAATAATAAATATATATATATATAATTTCTCTATTGATTGAACTTGATGGACTTAGAGCTGTCTAAGGATCCTTCAGTCATTGCATTCTATACACTGTGTATAGGACGTGAGGACCCTGGGGGGCATACCATCACTGCATCGGAGGGGAAGAGAGGCTCCAGGGACCGGTCTAAGAGCAAGCTGGCTCAGAGGATCGGGTGCATATAACTTTGTTATTTTTGAACCTAGACAAAAACAAGCACTTGACACTTATAGTGCAGGGGTAGCCCCACTGCAGGGGTTAGGAACATTTTCCCCAGAGTTCTGCTTTAATGTAGCCACGTGTCTTTGATTATCAATGAATTCTGAATTTTGCAAACTAAAGTCTTTCGATGATTCCTCAAATGTTATTACAGCGACTCCAGGCGTCTGGGAATACGTTACAAACATTTATTTAATTCTGAAGTTTGGAATTAAGAGCCAACAAAGGAAAGAAAGAAACCATCAGCATGACTGTCCCCATATATCAGATTTAAAATCCTCAATTACAGTGAAGACAAAACATGCGTGTGTACATGTCTGAAGCCATGACAGTAGGGGTGGGGGAGGGGATGTCGCTGTGAACGGGCGCTCCCATGTCCTGCTCCGTGTGTTGTGTTATTACATATCTATAGATAATCCTTGTCACGTTTCTTTGTGCGAAGGATTTCCCTCCCATCTTTTGTTACACAACATTCTTGCCGTCTCTTCCTCCCCCTGATAGAACTACGCTATGGCTCATGTTTCAGCTTGTCTGGCTGGATGGCCCCTACCTGGTCCCTGTACAATGGAAAAAGGTAACAGGAGCACACCTATCCCGTCAATGAGTGGTGACGCCCTTTAAGATAAGATTCGCCCCATGTGACCGATGAGCTGTTGAAGGCAGGGCGCTGTTTGTTTTATAGTCACAATTACTTTTTACCCGTTCGGACCACCAGATAGAGAAACATGAAACCACTGTTCCTTTCTCTGAACTATAATGAGTCTTCTGACTCCTCTAAACGCCCCCGACCCCAATAGTTCATCTGCCACAAATGTCCAGAGGTGACCAGAAAAAGGAAACAACATACAGAAATAGTTATAATGGTTTTCAAATTTGAAAGGCTTGGTTCCCCTTTTACCTTCATCCACTAGACACCGGCCTATGTGTGTCATAATGCTACTGCTCTGATTAAGTTGCACCGTCACCCAAAGGTGAAACACCGGCTTCTGGGTGTTTCACCTTTGCTGCTAGGACGCTAGGTGGCTTGAGCCGCCTGCACACTATTCACAAAGGACTCTAGGCAGCACAAGTCACCTGCATCCTAGCAACGAAGGACTCTAGGCAGCACAAGTCACCTGCATCCTAGCAACGAAGGACCCTAGGCAGCTCAAGTCACCTGCATCCTAGCAACGAAGGACTCTAGGCAGCTCAAGTAACCTGCATCCTAGCAACGAAGGACTCTAGGCAGCACAAGTCACCTGCATCCTAGCAACGAAGGACTCTAGGCAGCTCAAGTCACCTGCATCCTAGCAACGAAGGACTCTAGGCAGCACAAGTCACCTGCATCCTAGCAACGAAGGACTCTAGGCAGCACAAGTCACCTGCATCCTAGCAACGAAGGACTCTAGGCAGCACAAGTCACCTGCATCCTAGCAACGAAGGACTCTAGGCAGCTCAAGTCACCTGCATCCTAGCAACGAAGGACTCTAGGCAGCACAAGTCACCTGCATCCTAGCAACGAAGGACTCTAGGCAGCACAAGTCACCTGCATCCTAGCAACGAAGGACTCTAGGCAGCACAAGTCACCTGCATCCTAGCAACGAAGGACTCTAGGCAGCACAAGTCACCTGCATCCTAGCAACGAAGGACTCTAGGCAGCACAAGTCACCTGCATCCTAGCAACGAAGGACTCTAGGCAGCACAAGTCACCTGCATCCTAGCAACGAAGGACTCTAGGCAGCACAAGTCACCTGCATCCTAGCAACGAAGGACTCTAGGCAGCACAAGTCACCTGCATCCTAGCAACGAAGGACTCTAGGCAGCACAAGTCACCTGCATCCTAGCAACGAAGGACTCTAGGCAGCACAAGTCACCTGCATCCTAGCAACGAAGGACTCTAGGCAGCACAAGTCACCTGCATCCTAGCAACGAAGGACTCTAGGCAGCACAAGTCACCTGCATCCTAGCAACGAAGGACTCTAGGCAGCACAAGTCACCTGCATCCTAGCAACGAAGGACTCTAGGCAGCACAAGTCACCTGCATCCTAGCAACGAAGGACTCTAGGCAGCTCAAGTCACCTGCATCCTAGCAACGAAGGACTCTAGGCAGCACAAGTCACCTGCATCCTAGCAACGATGGACTCTAGGCAGCTCAAGTCACCTGCATCCTAGCAACGAAGGACTCTAGGCAGCACAAGTCACCTGCATCCTAGCAACGAAGGACTCTAGGCAGCACAAGTCACCTGCATCCTAGCAACGAAGGACCCTAGGCAGCTCAAGTCACCTGCATCCTAGCAACGATGGACTCTAGGCAGCACAAGTAACCTGCATCCTAGCAACGAAGGACTCTAGGCAGCACAAGTCACCTGCATCCTAGCAACGAAGGACTCTAGGCAGCACAAGTAACCTGCATCCTAGCAACGAAGGACTCTAGGCAGCACAAGTCACCTGCATCCTAGCAACGATGGACTCTAGGCAGCACAAGTAACCTGCATCCTAGCAACGAAGGACTCTAGGCAGCACAAGTCACCTGCATCCTAGCAACAAAGGACTCTAGGCAGCTCAAGTCACCTGCATCCTAACAACGAAGGACCCTTGGCAGCTCAAGTCCAGTGTATGGTCAATTCATCTATAATAAGAGATATATTTATATAATCTAGTGGTGCAGATAAAAGCATGTTGTTGCCCATAGCAACTAAAGCGAGCCTTGCTTTCTTTTTCAAAACTTAAACCAGAAACGCTGTAATGTGATTGGCTGCCGAGGACAATGCACACACTGCTGTTCTTGCTACAGATTATTCAGAGAGGCTCTATTGTAAGCTCACAGCACTTACATCGATGAATGATGCGTTAATATAGTCCGTGTATTCTTCACCCCTCTTCATTGGTAGAATCACTCGATTGAAGTCATCTATGTAATAAAACAAAAGAAACGTTTAGTTCCAGCTTTTATTAAGCCGGCCCCGACCGTGCTGTGTACAGGCCTAATAGTACAAGACCAACGCTGCAATACAAAAGGACAATTTTCTCCCAATGTTCACCACATTCACTTACACAAAATGATGCCATATAGATGCAAATGTAAGTATAGGTAGCTTTAAGGTGACCATACACTATACCAAGGGTAGTGGATCAACATTCAAGAGTAACATTTTCATCCAGGAGAAGTCCGAATCGTGGTCTGGACCGGGCAGTTCACTCAGTCATTGTCTGCACCGCGGTCCGCCATTTGGACTGCAATCACACCAGCAACTGCACTACAATGCACAGCTGTTGTTGCGTGTTCCCAGACACAGTGGTGATGCACCGATCCTAGCACATCGCGCTGTTTATTTCTTATAGAACTCCTTCCACGTTTACATACACGTGTATGCCTTACGCACATGTGTTCATTAGGAGGAGATGGTGGGGGCGGCAGGGCTGGTTTTAATTTTTTTTTACATTTTGCATTTATTATTTTTACATTTCTATCATCTTTTTTTTAAAATTATTATTATTTACTTTTTAAACACCTTTTAATCTTTTTTATTTTATTTACTTTTCTGTATGTATTTATTTACTTAACTTCTACTATCACAAATGGGATAAATAGCCCCCATGTGACAGCATTTGGAGGTGACAGGTTCTCTTTATGGAGACATTAGGGGTCTATTAGTTTCTCCTGCCCTCCAATACAGATGAATAAGCACAGGATTGTGCTTCATAGTCTTCGGCCGGCTTCTGACAGCTGAAGAAGGAAGTGCTGAGAGCACTGTGCTTCATGGTTCACTGATCACAGAGGTCAGGGAACGGACATTCCACAGTCTGCTCCCGCTCTCCATCCTGACACTGTTTGCAGTGTTCCCGTGCCCCCCAGAGGAGTGTGAGACCCAAAACCACAGTTGGGGTGGGGTTGGGATGGGGTGCAGAGAGGGATGGGGTCGCACAATAGCATGAAGTACGAGTGACTTGTAGTTGTAGCACCTGGCCCTGCCCCTGATGTCACTGGTTGCTAGGACGCTAGCGGTCCTAGCAACCAATGACTGAAGTGTAGGGGGGCCTGCACGGGGTTATTGCTGCAAGTAGCTGCACTGCCCTTGGACGTTTATGCACTGCCCTTGGACAAATAGTGAACCCTTGTGGTGAGGGGCAGAGCAGGCAAGGGGGGACTCTCTGAGACATATAAATATGTGATCTGGTCTGCTGTCATCTCGTCATAGAAGTGGACTGACCCTGTAAGCCCTCATGTAGACTCCTTTCTACAAGTGTGTGAAGAGATAAGAAAGACCGCACCCTGCACATCCCACAAAACAACCACGACTACAGTATACAATATATTTGCACAGATCAGGTATAGGAAGACAAATGTTCCTATAGACATACATCAGACATAAAACAGTGTGTAGCAGCCATTAGTGGCCATATGTATATATATATATGTGTCCAATGCCACAACTTTTATTTGTAGTTTTAGATGGAGCGTTGAACTGTTAAACCCTGTCAGGTGTCTACTGTCTATATCCCCATGGGGGAGATTCACCCTCTGTGTGTCCTGGTGATCATTGTCCAGTGTTGGATGCAGAGGGGAAGAATTAAAACCTCTGGTAACTTTCTATTGCTGTCTGTGCCCTGGGGAGATTCAGCCCCCGTTCGTCCTGGTGGCCATATTTAACAGGTTAGAAAGTGATAGAGAATCCCAAATTTTACAGTAGTGACCAGAACAGAAATAAAGGAGACATCAACCAATGGAGACATCTGCTCTGGTGACCAGGGATTTCCCCTCACTTTGGGGAGATTTTCTTACGTTCTATTATGTCTCCAGTGCAGGAAGTGCAGGGAAATCTCCCCAATCAATGAGACACAGACTGCAGAAGAATCAAAATATGTTTTATATGCTTTAATGATATAATAATACTATTGCTCAGATAGGATAGAATTAGGCTGGTCATACACGACTTGAATTTACACTGATTCTTGCTAAATTGAATTTTTTGGGTCAAACACCAACCCGCAGAAGGTTATGTGAATGTGGCCGGTAGGTCGGCTTTGGCTCTACTTACATGGGATGATCTGGATGACTCTGGCTTTCTTCATGTTTGCTGGCAGGTTACCGGTCCTCATGTTCTCCTTCATTATTCGGACATTCGTCAGTTTCTAGAAATACAGAAAAATCCCATTCTAAGATTCTGCAAGAAAACTGGCTCAGAACCCTACTACTCACAGCAAAGTGAACCTCCTTTTGTTTTATCTACGGGCAAACTTGTTGGTCAGCACCATGGTCTTGAATTGCCACGGTACATGCTCCTCTCCTGTTCTGCACTAAAAAAGTTTAGAGAAGGGAAATATGGATGCCACTGGACTCCAGGGTTGTCCTATTGGAATTGCTATCCAGCGGTATTATAATGGTGCTGGTAGAGGTTGTCTGGTTGCCAGGCTGGTAGCTTCTACACCCCAGAGGGTTCCTACAGTTTCCTTGGCTTGAAGTGCAGAAGAACAGATCTGAAATTGAAGCTCCACACCGCTGATTAATAGTCCAAATTGGAGATGCACCGATACAGAGTATTTAGGTGAGTACTCGTACTTGCCCAAATGCTCTGATACATTCCCCGATACCGGAACTTCTGGTCAGAGGGAGATTTCCTGATTGGCCAGGAAGCCCCCTCCATGCTGTTTGGCCGGCTCCATTCTGAATGGTTTAGTAGCCAATTAGCATCATACTGGCTAAACAGCATGGAGCTGGCTTTCCGGGCAATCAAAAAGCCGGGCGGCGTGACATCACCCACCACCTGGCTTCTTGATTGCCCAGGAAGCCGGCTCCATGCTAGCGGAAGTACCGGTCTCAGTACCGGTATCGGCGAGTACCGAAAGATAAATATCGGTACTCGATACTGAAAAACCGGTATCGGTGCATCCCTAGTTCAAACACAATTTTATTCCAGTATAGGGTCAGATAAAAGATCAAAAATGGGAAGCCAATGCATATCGGGGGTCCAAAAACACCCCATTCATGTGAGCTTGAAAAAGGAAACAATGAATATGGACTGAATTGAGGGTGGAATATTGAGGGATCTGAGACTGAAGTGTCGCCCCACAGATTAATAGTCCAGATACAATTATATTCCAGGCCTCCATTTTACTGTCCTACAACTAAGTATACTCAGGGCCTTAAACACTGGAGATTAGATCAGCATGATAGCCAGGCAGACAGCAATTTTATAAGGAGAGAACAGCAATGGTCCCTTTAGGATAAGACACTACAAGCCGTCTTATTACCTATTATAGGGTCAGGAAGAAGATCAAAAAATGCCATCCAATGTCAGGGGTCCTTCATCAGGGCTTGGAAAGGGAAACAATGTATATGGACTGAATTGAGGGTAAAATATTACTAGTGTTGTTACCAGTATGATATCAGGCACATTTCTCATCAGCGGCTTCTAAACCAGGAGCAGGCAACTCCGGCCCTCCAGCTGTGCTGTAACTATTAATTCCAACATGCCTCTGCTTCTGGGAGTCAAGCCTGTAACTGTCTTGCAATGCCTCGTACGACTTATAATTCCACAACAGCTGGAGGGGCGGGAGTTGGCCACCCCTGGTCTAAAGCATTTGCTATCACGATCTATGTCTGATATCCCACTGGTGAATTATCATTGATATTTTACCTTCAATTCAGTCCATATAATGTATATTGTTTCACTTTTCAAGCCTAGATGAAGGAGGGAAATGTGTGGACCCCCGAACATGTAGGCTTCCTGTGTTTTGATCCCCTATCTGACCCTATATTGGAAACAAAAATTGTATCTGAACTATCAGATCTGCTGTTCCTCACTATAAGCCCAGGGAACTGTAGGAACCCTCTGGGGTGCAGAAGATTCCAGCCTGGTAACCAGACAACACCAATATAATACTATTGGATAGCAATGCCAACAAGACAACCAAGGGTCCAGTGCCATTGCTCCCCTATCCCAAGTACCCAGACATGAATCCTGTGCGTTTAGTGAAACGCTGTGGTGTAAACGGGCCCTTATACATTTCACTTGGCTGACAGGGGTCACATGTAAGAAACCTGCATGTGACACTGATGCACAGGTCTGCGGGACAGCCGTGGATTTCCTAGTAGACGCAAGCTCAGTGTTACCCTGTGACAGGATCTCCAATGAACATATAAATGTTTTCACTTTACAAACCATTAATCTGGCCCTAGTCACACAATGCAGAGCTTTGTCTTGGGGCTGTACCGTGTCCAGCTGGCATCTGCTCAGCCGGATCTGGTATGCAGTGGTAAAACACTGAGCGTATGTGTAACACAAACCTGCCGTGTCAATGCAGATGAGATCCAATTTTATAGCAACCCCGGGCTGAAGAGCCAACACTGGTATCACAACGTAACTGTCAGGGCATACCTTATATATTGTGTTCTCCTCCCCAGAAAATAAGAAATGCTATTGTTAAATTGATCAATGATTACAACCAGAGACACTGCAAGAGAGGAGCATTCTCAGGAACAGGGCATGATAACCTGAGAGAGTTGGCAGCTGTTAATACCGCAGCATAATACCAGATATCATAGCAACAAAAACATACAAATAAACAAGCAGTACACACATACACACTACGCAAATTGTGGGCAGAAATATAACAGAAGTGTCTGTGGTTTTTTATTTTATTCTGCATTTGGGTCAATTTTATTTTGTTTTATGTTTATAATAAAGTCTGTTTTATATTTGTTTTCTACTATTTAACCCCTTAAAGGAGAACTATGGGGTTAAGGCTTTTCCCCATAGTTCTCCATAGGGTAACGGGAGGACACAAACTAGCGTCCTCCCGTCACCCTAGGCTCAGTATACCGTGAGCTACAGCTCGCGGTATACTGAGACTCCGCAGTATACCGCGAGCTGCTGCCTGCGGTATACTGAGACGCCGCAGCTGAAGCGGATCCCGACAATTGTGCCGGGATCCGCCCAGCTGCGTGACTGACAGCTGGCTCTGCCTATCTAGAGGCAGAGCCAGCTGTACCCGCCCCCGTCCGTTCCGCCAGTCAGCACTGGCGGATCGGAGGGGGGAATCCAGCCCCTCCCCTGTCACGGCAGAGAGCCGTGACAGGATCGAGAGGTGAGCGAACGCCGGTATATGTTGGCTCACCTCCCGATCTACTAAGCCGACATGTGACAGTCTCATTGTCACAGGTCGGCTAGAACTATGAGGTGAGTGAAAATCACTCACCTCATAGTTCTCCTTTAATGGTACAAAGTAAAACAAATCTTATTTGGGTAATTTTCTTTCTTTCTATGTTTATATGTTTGTGAACTGGTGTTTTATATCTTATGTTTCTACTATATAACCCCTTAATGACAGAAGGGAAAAACATATCTGGTTCATTTAATTTTTTATGTTTAGATTTTTGTAAACTGGTGTTTTTTTTCTTTTTCCCCCCTACTTTTTAACCCCTAAATGACAGAGGGTAAAACAAATCTTTTTAGTTCAATTTTATTTTTGCCTCTGTTCGCAAAGTATGGACATTCACAGAAATTTGCATTGTGTATAGCTCTGCAAATTGTTTATAGATAGACCCCCAGTGACAAATCGAGCCTTCATTTGGTGGCAAATGTTAATAGATATCTCCTGATTTAAAAAAAAAAAATTTTCACAGGGAAAACTGGCCCAAAATAGTAAAAATATATGAAAAAATGTAGCTGTATATTTGTTGCCATTACCATGACCCTCCCAAAAAAATAAACATACATTTTCCTACTACGGAAATGCACGAGGATACCACACGTGTGTGTTATTTGTTGTCTGTGCCCAAAAAAAAACCAACAATTTTTCTTATCCTACCTAAACACACTAACGCTGACATGAGCACTAACCCACAGCAGATCGAGCCCTGATCTAATTATTATTTATTTTTCTTTACAGACTTTATAAAGAATATTTTCCTTCTCACAGAAGAGAAAGAGATAGAGGGACACCGCATAACTGTGTTACATCAGTGTCAAGGGGCCAGATAAAAATGTTAAGCATTTAACACGGTGTGCACCCAAGACACAGAATTCCCATAGCATCATTGGTTTTACTGAAGAGAAAGCACAGCAGAAGCTGTTCTCTTTCAGACAGTTTGTCTCTAAATAAAACCTCCTGGAGGAGCTGCCTAAAGCATCGGAGAGGGGAAGTGTCACTGCTATAACTCATTTATTTGTACACTTCAGCTTGAGCTACTGAACGCTGTAAACATGAAGCCTAGGAGACACAATAATATTAGCCTAGAGTTCTCCCCAGTGACTGATATTGAAAACATAAAATATTCACATGAAATATGGTAATTTTACCAGACTAAAAATTAATTCTTAAACATTTGTTTTTTAGCCCTAGACATAATAACTAAAGAAAGAAAATATATATATACACAACCAATATACATCAACTGTAATGCATATCGGAAGAGTAAAACTTACTTTGAACTCCTGCTCGAGGCCGGTTTTCTCATAGTGAGGTGCAGGGCTGTACAGAGTCTGAAGGTGTTTTTCTAAAGAGGCCACATCGAGTTCTGTGTCTCCATAGAGGTAGTATTCGAGTAAGGCTTGGTAGATGAATGAATACTGCATCTAAAAAAATAGTGGGGGGGGGGGGGGGGGGCTGATGAGAGGGTCCAGAAATGTTTATACTATACACTTTTATTAAACTTAACAGAATTATAAGCTCTAAGTCCCTGTAACAACAAGGCAGGGCATTAGGAGAGGGGTTGTCACCGAGACAGGAAGACACACAGTCAATAATAATAATCTGACAAAGGATCCAACTCTTTCCAATTTTACTTTATGAAGTGTTTGGGTGCAATCTGTGCCCCCACTGATGAGATAAAAAAAAAAAAAAACAGACTTCTGTCTGAACATGTGGCCAGATCATGCACAGGAAAGCATTTAATGGACAAGCATTTTAAAAGAAGCCTTCATTCACCTCTGTACCTATAGGCATTGTGGAGAATTTTATTTATTTGAAGGTCAACACAAGTATTGAAATGTCAGCAATTTTCTTCAGACAGCAGATCATGGACTCCTGCCAGCCCTCTAATGGCTTGGACTTGTTCTGTAATGTTGAAGACCTTTTGTAGCTTGTTCAAGCCACAGGTTCAGTTCCCATGAGTGGTAGAGAGATATTCTAGCATTTATATCCACATAGGAGCACAGACACTTTAATCCAGTTGCCATGTAATACCTCAAGGCAGATGTTGATTGTTCAAGAACAGGATAGGAGGTGTGAAAGGTTTGAAACCCCCCTGTTCTAGTTACATAATCTCATCCTTTGTGTCAGGAAGTTTGCATAGGGGTTAATCCCTCGATTTACATGGCTGAAAATGTAAATTGTTGAGGTAGAGATGTTAAAATGGCATTATATGTGGAAGAAAGATGATGTCAAAGAATGTTCTTCTGTTCAGGGATGGTTGTCCCAGTTTGATGTAGGATGGCCTCTTTTATGGACAATGGTCCTCTCTGTTCAAAATGTGCACCTTTACTGTCCTCCAATGAATGTCCCTTTTCAGAAGACTTGGCTGTTCTCCTACACCTTGACTGACCTGAAGAATCTGCCCTCCTATGTTTCTGAAGACTTGGCTGTTCTTCTACACCTTGACTGACCTGAAGAATCTGCCCTCCTATGTTTCTGAAGACTTGGCTGTTCTTCTACACCTTGACTGACCTGAAGAATCTGCCCTCCTATGTTTCTGAAGACTTGGCTGTTCTTCTACACCTTGACTGACCTGAAGAATCTGCCCTCCTATGTTTCTGAAGACGTGGCTGTTCTCCTACACCTTGGCTGACCTGATGAATCTGCCCTATGTTGGGCAATTGGTTTTGAGAGGTCGTTTTGCCTCATCAATGTACAGGCCTCCCTACATGGCATACACCAAGTTACTTGTGTTTGGGTGTTGGGTTAGATGTACAAACGTCTGTCCTAATGTATCGCTGAGCTTGAAAGACACAGATGTGATGTTTGCTAAAGGTGCTTCTGTTTTTTTTTTTACTCTCCAGCTACATATGGGATGACCATATTACTCTATGTGGTCTGCTTCTCCCCTCTGTTCCTTAGAATCTTTGAAAACAAATTACTTCACATTACAAGCAGCTACAGAGGTGAGTGAGGGCAATGTTTGAAAGCTCTTTTACTGCTTGGTAAGGATGTGTAAATAGTTTAATGTCCGTAGTCTGGACACAGGTGCACTTTAAGGCAAAGAAACAGGAAGAATTAAATGAATGCTATACATGCTTTCCACTTACATCAGTCTGAACCATTTGAGGCCGCTGGCTGCGGATTTTCAAAACAAAATGAAACACGTCCACCTTCTTCTCTTCATTCATCATGTCTATGATGGCATCTATCACAATAAAGGTTCCCGTCCGGCCAACACCAGCACTAGAAAACACAAAGATGTGCAGGTTAAATAGACTGTTAATGTCTGTATTTGATGAACATTAGCAGTAGCAGAGTATTGTACTATGTTAGCCATTGAGATTAATGCAGAAAGTTTGGAGTGACACCCTTTACTGGCTAACTTAAAGTGACACGACACTCAGGAGTTAAACCTTAAAAATGCATTCAAGTACCTTAACTATGAACAAAAATGTATCTTATTTGTGTATCACTCTGCTGTAGATCCTCAAATCATCTCTGAATCTGTGCTGACACACTTGTGTTGTAAAGTAGTCACCGCTCCAAGCTTGCTCCCAGGATGGACTACAATCTCAATACAAATTATTAAATTAAACATGAGATTGTAGGTCCATCCTGGGAGTGAGCTTGGAGCGGTGCCTACTTTATAACACAAGTGTGTCAGCACAGATTCAGAGATGATTTGAGGATCTACAGCAGAGTGATACACAAATAAGATACATTTTCGTTAATAGTTAAGGTACTTGAATGTATTTGTAAGATTTAACTCCTTTTAAGGTTTTACAGCCAGAGAGCCATCATGGCAGCCAACTAAAATGTTCAGAAGGAGGTTAGCAGTGGCAGTCACTGTATTTAACAAAAGCAATTTAAGGGCTGAAGGGGACCCCAGATGCTTTTATAATGAGCTCCCTGTTCAGATTTCATACCAGTAACTTTGGACTTTGGTTACACCTCTGGTCTCTGTACAAGATTAGAGGTTCTTTGCCTGTGAATGTTCATAGCCATTCCTAGTTGTATTACACTATTATAGCCACTAGGTGGCGTGTTTGTGCAATAAATGACACTCGCTATATATTATATGAGAAAGAGGACCACTCACATCCTCTGTCCACAGCATCCTTATTACTGCAACTACTCTATGGAAATTCATGACCTGACGTGAACTTAAAAAGCTATTTCCAACAGATAAAATCATTTATCCCACAACTGCTCACAGAGCTTCATGCATTGCAAAGTCTCCATAAAACATTAATGCCATTTTACATAATGATGTACAGTTACAAATTACACAGAAATCCCGCTGAATGCACGGAGAAGACTTTCCTGTGTAGCAAGCTCACAAGGGACAGAACATTGTATGTACATATGTCATTTTAAAGCATCAGTCCTCCTAAAACTGATCCTGGAAACCTGCTATGGGAAAACATATTGGAGATGCCAGTGCTAATTTCTTTGCTGATCCTCTGGTTTCAGTGACTGCTTGTTCCAGGACAGCGACTAGCAACATATTGATACCTGAGACAGCCAAGAAAGTAGCATATTTAGGAGATCAACAATGCCCCCATATTACTCTCAAGGCATGCCAACTTCAAACCACCTAACACGTTGTCATGTCTCTTGGGCACTAAGTCGCCAAGATCTTTGAACATGTGATTGTGTGCATCTGCTGCAATCCTTCCGATGATGTTCCACGCTCCATATTTCATTTATAATATAGAGAATGCAACAGGGAGAGTGGGGACAGCCACAACTGGGACGGGCAGAAAGAGAATTGGGATCATGAAGTATATTCCGTTAACTCAACATCAGGGCTGTAACTACAGATCACAGGGTCCCATAGCAAAAATGTGATGGGGGCCCCCTGATGACCTCTCTTTGAGCTGTAAGGATGCCAAAATCATAACATTCCTCTTGTAAGTCATCTTTACACTGTAGACTTTACAGTCAACTGCAACCACTCCAACCCTTAATCATATAGTACTGTATTATCTTCACATGTTCTAAGTTTAATTTGCCTCAACAACCCCGTGGGGCCCTCTCCCAGCCACAGGCCCCATAGCAGCCGCCTGGGCTGCTATGGCTATAGTTACGCCCCTGCTCAACATATAAGGGAACATAACAGTCCATAATGTGGACTGGCCCTTTAAATCACATTGTAGTAAATAGGACATGAGGGTAAATCCAGCTCAGGCACAGACAGCAATAGAAATCCAACAGAGGTTCTAACCCTTCCCACTTTATCCAAAACTAACAAAAGGCATAACATATAGTCAAACTCTGCTGGGAAAGTTTCTGCTTCCGTTGGGTCCCGGCGACACCAGAATATGAAATAAGGGACTGGGGGTCACCAGCACAAGGAAAGCAGACACAGCAAAAGAAATGACACAGCAATAATAATGTAGGAGAGGTTCTAACCTTTCTCCACTGTAGTGGAAAAGTGTTTTTGGCTGCTATCTCTGTCCGTATAGGAGAGATTTCTCTCCACTTCCTGTCCTGCTGACCCCATCTCTATGACAGGAAGTTAAGAAAAATTTCTTCACTAGGATTTTACCAGAAAAAGGTTCTTACCCCTCCCTACTAAAACAGATCAAATGAAACCCAAACTAAAGCCATATATATTAACCAAAAGTCACGATTTATGCTTTTAGGAAATACATGTTGTCGTCCCCCCTCCCCCCCACCCACGCCTTTTTAACTTCCTCTTTGCAGCCGCTTCTGCCACATAAACATTAATGCCATTTTACATAATGATGTACAGTTACAAATTACACAGAAATCCCGCTGAATGCACGGAGAAGACTTTCCTGTGTAGCAAGCTCACAAGGGACAGAACATTGTATGTACATATGTCATTTTAAAGCATCAGTCCTCCTAAAACTGATCCTGGAAACCTGCTATGGGAAAACATATTGGAGATGCCAGTGCTAATTTCTTTGCTGATCCTCTGGTTTCAGTGACTGCTTGTTCCAGGACAGCGACTAGCAACATATTGATACCTGAGACAGCCAAGAAAGTAGCATATTTAGGAGATCAACAATGCCCCCATATTACTCTCAAGGCATGCCAACTTCAAACCACCTAACACGTTGTCATGTCTCTTGGGCACTAAGTCGCCAAGATCTTTGAACATGTGATTGTGTGCATCTGCTGCAATCCTTCCGATGATGTTCCACGCTCCATATTTCATTTATAATATAGAGAATGCAACAGGGAGAGTGGGGACAGCCACAACTGGGACGGGCAGAAAGAGAATTGGGATCATGAAGTATATTCCGTTAACTCAACATCAGGGCTGTAACTACAGATCACAGGGTCCCATAGCAAAAATGTGATGGGGGCCCCCTGATGACCTCTCTTTGAGCTGTAAGGATGCCAAAATCATAACATTCCTCTTGTAAGTCATCTTTACACTGTAGACTTTACAGTCAACTGCAACCACTCCAACCCTTAATCATATAGTACTGTATTATCTTCACATGTTCTAAGTTTAATTTGCCTCAACAACCCCGTGGGGCCCTCTCCCAGCCACAGGCCCCATAGCAGCCGCCTGGGCTGCTATGGCTATAGTTACGCCCCTGCTCAACATATAAGGGAACATAACAGTCCATAATGTGGACTGGCCCTTTAAATCACATTGTAGTAAATAGGACATGAGGGTAAATCCAGCTCAGGCACAGACAGCAATAGAAATCCAACAGAGGTTCTAACCCTTCCCACTTTATCCAAAACTAACAAAAGGCATAACATATAGTCAAACTCTGCTGGGAAAGTTTCTGCTTCCGTTGGGTCCCGGCGACACCAGAATATGAAATAAGGGACTGGGGGTCACCAGCACAAGGAAAGCAGACACAGCAAAAGAAATGACACAGCAATAATAATGTAGGAGAGGTTCTAACCTTTCTCCACTGTAGTGGAAAAGTGTTTTTGGCTGCTATCTCTGTCCGTATAGGAGAGATTTCTCTCCACTTCCTGTCCTGCTGACCCCATCTCTATGACAGGAAGTTAAGAAAAATTTCTTCACTAGGATTTTACCAGAAAAAGGTTCTTACCCCTCCCTACTAAAACAGATCAAATGAAACCCAAACTAAAGCCATATATATTAACCAAAAGTCACGATTTATGCTTTTAGGAAATACATGTTGTCGTCCCCCCTCCCCCCCACCCACGCCTTTTTAACTTCCTCTTTGCAGCCGCTTCTGCCACACGTAGACCCCCTTCACATAAGACTGTACCCACCGGCAATGCCCATTACGTGTTACCAGTGTGTGTTACCACACGCTACTTGCAATGGTGCGATGCTGTAGCATTCATTCTGAATGGGGGCAGTTCGGAATTCGGCGGACTCGCGCGGTCGCATTAACGGTCCCCATAGCAACGATGAGATCGTTCATATCAGCGGATCCATGCGGCCAAACCGCCACGGTGTATACGGGGTCTAAGATGGACTCCTTTCAACTATCCTGGCCTGTTCTTGTGCCAAAAAATGGCTTCTCCTTAGCTGGGAGCATGACATTCGATATTGAGGGATAGGGGAAATCTAATGCTAACCCTAAGCCTTTGTATATCAACAAAGTCATGTGATCACTATGTCAGCACCGGCAAGGCAATCACATGACTTTGTTGATAAACAAAGGCATTGGGTTAGCATTAGCTTTCCTTATCAACAAAGCCATATGATTATAGGGCACAGTGATCACGTGGCTTTGTTAGCAAACAAAGCCGTTTGATTATTTTTTTTTTTTTTAAGCAGTCCACTGATAAGATTTGAGGCTAATTTTGATGCAGATTTGACAAATAAAAAAGAGGTTATTTTGCTGTCACATGAATATTGATGAAATGAATCCACTCATCCCTAATAACCTCCATCTTTTTATACTACAATGATCTCTTCTAGCCTCTTGTGTACTGTTTATTAAAGAAAACAGTGCTTTGAAAGTTTATAAACTGGCTTGTGAATGTTTATATTCTGACTTGTCCCCATTAGCCCCCACCTACTGGCCAATCAAGCAGGCTATTACATTTCAGGGCAGATAGGAATATGGGAGGGGGGCAGTTCAGAGCACAGACATCAATGTGGCATAATGGGATCTCTGGAGGTACCAGCTATGCAACCCTAAGGCATATATGTCATCTTACAAGAATCTACAGCTACACTTTAAAGAAAACCTCTGGGTACATTCATGAAATACCAATTAAGGTTACTATAGGTTCATTTAGAAGCCATAAATCATTTTTTATTGACC